TCATCTTTGGGATGGTTACTGTTCAGGTTATATTTAGAGGAACATAGATATCAAAATATAAAATTAATAGCACTTAATTTGAGAGGGGTAAAAGAAACAGTAGAATCTAATAAAAAAATCTGTCTTGCCTTCTGAACTTAAATTAAAAGCCCTTTGGCCCATTGTCTTTGGACACTGGAATACATTGGAAAGCATCCAATCTTCTCTGTTTTCTTTTATGTATCCATTTTGTTTTACCCATTTTGCTGTCTTCTGTACTCCAAATGATTTTTATGTTTTTCTTCTAAGAGTTACAACTAACAGAGAGTGATGCATACTACCATGACTGATATATACAGCTGAGTAAGAAATATTCTGAAGGATGCTAGTTTAAATTTTCCCTTTGAAACACTTGTATAGGTATCTGGTCTCCAAATTTTAAGCAGAACCATTTAATTATAATCAAGGAAAGGTTCCCATTTCAGAGTATAAATTAAGTACTTTAGCATAGGTAGAATATTAGCATTTCTCTGTGGTGCACAGAGAGGTAGGAAGGGCCTATGTGATATGAGTAAATGTCTTCTGTGTACCGAAGGGAACTAAAATATGAGCAGGAGAGGCAGAACTAGAAATTTTATGGAGTGATGTTGCCAGGTAAAAGAGCATAGAATTTCATTCAGAGTGTTAGGAAGAGAGAATAAGTGAAATATACAGGGTTTTCCATTGTACAGTACTGGCAAAGAGAATAAAATCCCAGAGGAAACAAAGCAGGTGGACTGACCACAGGCTACATGATATCTAGCAACCAGTGAAGTTCCTTCATTGAGAAGACTACTGTTTTGTGCTTTACTTAATGGTGATGACAAGATGTCACAGGAAGTCCCTTAGGGCTTGTGAAATGCTTCAAACTGGGCTTAATGAGGTACCTTGAGATTTGGTCTAGTTTGTTATTCTGCTCAAAATCAGTATAATCTCTCTTAGTTATGTGGCCAAACAACAAGTACTTAATTGGAAATAGACCATTCTCTAAACACAAATACACTACTGAATATTGCATAGTCAGTTATTACTTGATGCTCAGAACTTGATGGCTGTTATTCTAAAATGTATAAAGACATAAATATGTCTTCAAAGACCCCAAGAAAGTCAGTATGGATAAACCCATTTTTTTCCAAGCAAAAAATTACTATTACAAAGGGTGATGTCAGTTTACCCAAGAAGTGAGTGACTAAACTATTTTTCTAACTGTCCCTCCCTACTGCAGAAAGCTCAATGTTGAACTACTTTTGTACAATTTATTTCATGTATTTCATACTCTGATGTCAGTTTTCTTTATAGATGAGACAAACCTTCACGGTGATAGAGAAATATCTGGTGTGTTAAATGAAAACAGAAATGAACCTGCACCTCTATTTAAATACTATATCAATGTGAATGCAACAAGTTTATAAAGTAGCCCAATTTTAGACCAGAAAATTTATTTTCTACGTAATGAAGTAAAATTAGAACAAGTGCATATTAGAAGTCTTGTAAATAACCTAGGATTTTGCATTTTATCTTTCTACTCAGCAAAGCCAATCAGCTCTAAGTTAAAGTGTCACTGTGTGTTTCTACCCATTTCCTGGGACTCACTCAATACTTTGGGGACAATAAAAAGTCACGTACCATCTTTTCTTTTGCTAGACTGATTTTTCTTGTTATATTTGTGACTCCCCCTACAATCTTGCTATTTCATTCTTTCAGTTGTGCTTTCAAAGAAACTACCATTTGCCAAGCATTGGGTTTGTTTTGTTTATTCATCCAACACTTCTTTACCCAATGGTTAAATAGAAGTGAGTATAACTGTACCACACAACTTGTTGTCATAGAGAAAAATGTAAGGATATCATATCTCCTTTGAGTCTTTTAGTCTACAGTATTTTTCTGTAAGTATTAAGGTAAATAATCTATTAGAAAACACTTTGGGAGCTGATTTGCAGCATTTCTCATCATTATTATGATTAGTTAATGTTTGTGTAACATAAATATCAATCTTACCTATCTTAGAATATTTCTTTTTTTTCATTTTTTATAATTTTATTTATTGAATCACCATGAGAGCAGTTACAAAGCTTTCGGGTCTAATTCTCGGTCATACAATGAAACACCCGTACCTTCACCAGTGCCCATTCTCCACCCCCAACAACCCCCGTATACCCCCATTCCACACCCTCCCCCTACCTGTGGGGCAGATGATTTCCACATTACTCTCTCTCTACTTTGATCACATTCAATATTTCGACACCAGTCCCACCATTTTTATTTGAGATTTTACTCCAACACTCAGATCTTCTGAAAAGGCAATAGTAGACAATTTGTGTTTTATTGCTGGTTATGAACAACATATATAAGAACTGGCAGAGGAACCGAGGCATGCGGGTCCTGGGGCTGAGGTCTCCAAGCCTACTCGGATTGGGACTGGGCCTTCTCCAACCAGAGCCCCCATCTTCCAGTAGGTAGGCATAATACCCACGAGCTGCCACCAGCGCCAGGTTGGTCCCATCAACGGCCAAGACACAGAGACAATAGAACTCAGCTACTGGAAGCGTGCAGCTGCATTTGGCGCCGTGCAACATCTTATCATCTTATTTTTCCTTTGGAGAACCTGGCAGGGCACCAAAAGTATCCTGTGCGCACGGCAGAGTCTGGCAAACTTCCCATGTCGTACTCAATATGCCAAATACCAGTAACAATGATGGGTCTCATTCTCCTAATCCTGAAAGAGCATTGAAATGGCTCTCTTAAAATCTCAGGGCTAGGAAGAAGGAAACGTTACTGGTGCCTACTCGAGGAAATCAACGAACAACAGGATGATCGTGATTGTGATCATGAATAACATATGGTGTCGCATGGCTGCAGTAGTGGCTGCGCGATTTTGAAATTCCGAAATTTTAACACTTAAATCTGGAGGGATTTCTGCCCAAACCTGCTGGGATCCAAGATTTGCTCCTGAGTCTCTGGGATCATGGCCTTTAAGCAGCTTCATCAGGAGCCAGAGAGGCTGTTCATGGGCGATGGGTCTCGTTGGGACGAAGAGGACAGGACCACCTCCACCTCCATCCTGTGAGACCCTGCGTGTCTCATCTCGTCACTGTGGGCCCAAATATGACTGTTCAATGGTCTCTGGAAGATGACAGCCACTGAGCCGCCAGGGGAAAGCAGGTGGAAAGCAGGAAAGCAGGACAACACCCTTTCCCCCCCTCCCCCCGGGGTGGCCCGGAAACAGTAACCTACTGCGTGGTCTGGACGCATTTCTGCCAAAAGCTGCTGGGTTTCAAGATTTGTTTTCTGAGTCTCTGGGATCATGGCCATTAAGCAGCTTGATCAGGAGCCAGAGAGGCCATTTGTGGGCGATGACATGGGGTCTTGTTGGGACGGGGAGGACAGACCAGCTCCATCCCCATCCCATGAGGCCCTGCATGTCTCATCACTGCAGACCCAAGCCTGACTGTCCAATGGCCTCTGGAGGATGATGGCCTCTGGGCCAAAAAGGGAGAGCAGGCAGAATGACAACACCCTTTCCCACCTGCGGTGGCCCATCGACAGTAACCTACTATGGGGTCCAGACACATTTCTTCCAAAAGCCACTGGGTTTCCAGATTTGTTTCTGAGTCTCTGGGATCATGACCGTTAAACAGCTTGATCAAGAGCCAGAGAGGCTGTTCGTGGGCAATGACTTGGGGTCCCATGGGGGGGGGGGGGGATAGGACCGGCTCCACCCCCATTCGGTGAGGTCCTGAGTGTCTCGTCACTGCGTGCCCAAACTTGACTCTCCAGTGGCCTCTGGAGGATGGCGGCCACCAGGCCACTAAGGGGAACAGGCCAAGGTAAGAAACCTATTCCCACCTGGGGTGGCCCAGCACCAGTAACCTACTGCAGAGACCGGACGCATTTCTGCCAAAAGCACTTGGGTTTCGAGATTTGTTTCTGAGTCTCTGGGATCATGGCCATTAAGCAGTCCAATTAGAACCAGAGAGAACATGCCTACAATTATAGCTGAGTCTAAGGTGCTTTGTGGGTGTGCCTCCCACATACCTAACTTTTGGCCATTTACTTTCTTGGTAAACTTTGCCCCAAGTTTTTGGGGTCTTGCCAAAGGCACAGCAGCAATTTTGGGTTATCTGGAAGTCTGAAGGCACCATCAGACTGCTGAAGCACTTGCCTCACAGGTACAGATTGACCTGCGGTGGCACCATACCCCCAGAATATTTCTGTAGTATTTCAAATGTATAGTGATATAACAAGTGACTTTGAGGAGTTTCCCATTTGTTAGCCATAATAATCATGGTCATTGATTCCAGTATAGCAAACCTATTCAAACAAACTTCGTTGAATTATTTGCATTCCTGAAGTTACCTTAATTTTTTAAACAGTATTTAGAAATTACGGATTTCTTAGAATGCTTGAGAGGCAGATAGTAGAATCATTTTCTTAAAAACCTAATGCTTTAATATAATTAGTGTTAACACAAATAATTAAAAACTAAAAATAGAATATTCTTAATATCATTTGTGATGTGAACAAGTACTATTTTACTAAAATATTGAGAACCACAGGGAGTGCTTGTAAAAGTGAAGGAAGGTACTATTCTTCACTCCATTATTCTTCTTACTGCTACCAGGATATGAGGATTATTGAATATTTCAAGACAAGGAACCATATAACAGGGATATAGTAAGCATGATTTTCAGCTAAAGAGCACTGTTTCCAGCATGACAATGGATTTATCCAAAATCAGATGGCATGTACAAAACTGAATAAGGTTTTTCTAATTTGCCAGTCCAATCTACTACCAGTTATATTTATATGATATGTTTACATTGATGTAACAGAAGTAAGTTATTCATCTGTTATTTCATTATTTGAAAACTGTCATGGTTTGTGCCATTACTGGACTTGAGCTACACTAACAACTGAGCAGGCTGTAGGTAGTGGACAGCACTGGCTTTTATATGCCTCCACTGGTTCTTTTTTTTTAACAGAGAGCAGCAGTTTGAATTCAGCGTGTGTCCATGAAAACATCGTGCACAGCCGAGTCTTTCAGATATTATACAGAAATGAAGAGGTGACCATAAATGATGCTGTGATCTTTCGAGTTCACTTGCTCTTAGATGGTGAAAAGGTAAGTCATGAGATATTCCTCTAGCCAAAATTTACTCTTCCTTCTTTGTGTTTTTTTTAATGTCTTGTGAGGTAAACAGTGAGTGAAAGTAAAGCTAGAATTGTTGAGCAATCTCAAGGAAATAAAAGGGAATCCGAATGAATGGGATTCATGATTTTAGAATATTCCTGTACTTGTTTATATGCACATTTTATCACTTATTATTTCATTCATACAATTGCTCAGCCCATGTTCAAACAGTTTCCAATGACTAAAATATTTTCTTCTGAACTAATTTTCTCATTTGTTCATCTAGAAGCCATTCTACCATTGAATCCCTCTACAGATGTTAACTGAAAATCTGCTCTTTGCAGGTCTCTGTGTTGAGTCTTTAAATAAGGGACAGCTGAGGCATGGAGCAGGACTCTACCAAATGAGATTGATAATGTACCAAGAAAACACATACAAATAGACACACAAATTTGTCCCTCTGCTAGATGATGTGCAACATTCTAGCTCTATGTGAAAATGAGCACAAGAAAAGTGAGATGACTCTGTTGAAAGGCCTGAATACTTTCACTGAACATTTGCCCTTGAGATGTAGCTGAGGAGTTTATCAAACAGGGAGAAGAAAGACCTGATTTGCAAGAAGAACAGCATGAGTCAAAGATCAGTCTTAGAAATATACTCCACTTGAACGAAAGTGGATTTAAACTCCTGTATATATCAGATTAAAATGTCTCAAAAGATTATCAAAAATCTAAGCCATTGCTCGCTTTATCTGATCTTATCTCAGATCTTTGCCACATTCCAGCTGATTATTTCCTGCTAGTATACCTTTGAATATAAAGTGCTTTCCTCTTTTAGACAAATCTCAAATACAGGCACATCGCTGCTTCTGGTCCACATATGGTGGGCATAACATTTTCTGCTTTCCACCTGATAGCGTTTTTCTCTGATGCCTCAGGGTTTATTTTATCTTTGTTCTGAAAAATGAATTTTTATTGTCACAATTAGGGTAAATGCTTACAATACTGATAACATTCAAGGTCTTGATGTACCACACAGTTATTCCAATTCACCACCACCAATATACACAATACCCTTCACCAATGACTTTATGTTATTTCTAGTCTATCTCTTCCCCATACCCCTTTCATTTTGGTATTAATCTCATTTTTTATATTCTAGATTTTGGGGAGTTTTTTTCATTTTGCTTAAAGATAAAATCCATAATACATCACTAATCCACTCACTAATCCATCCATTCAGCCATAGATTTATTGAGCACTCACGAGGCATCTAATATACACTAGAGATTAGTGAACAAAATTATCCCTGATGTCATGGTTCTTATATTTTAATATTTATTTAGTAGATTATAACATGGCTAGACAAATAAATGATTTGCATTTTATCATTGAATCTTCCTACTGCTGTTTCTCACTTTATTTTATCTATGCTATACATTTTAAAAGTTGATCAGGAGTTTGGCCTTCTTATATATATGTTATAAAAACTACATCTGGGTTCAATGAGAAAGATATCTCAGGTAAGGTTCACTCTGAAAGACTTTTGGTTGTTTACATAATGAGAATGTTTAGATAATGAGATCTCAAATTCAACCCAACCTTCACACAGATGGAGAATATTCTCTGGGGAAAAATAATAGATAAGAGAGGTCTTCCTGGGATGCCTACATTGAGTGAGATCCATGTGCTGAGGGCTGCTTCCCAGGTAGAGTGTACAACAAAGACAAAGGCCTAAAACAATAATGAGGTTCTTGTGTTACAGAAATAGCAGGGAGAGGTCAAGGTGACATTCCCAGTTGATGAGAGGAGATAAAGTTGGCGAAGTGCATCTGGGGGTAGATTTATAGAGCATTGAAGGCCAGAATAAACAATCTTTTACTTATTCTTAATGAGAAATCATCTGTTTTATGAGATAGCATAATATATGTATGGCATTTATATATGTATATGAAAATATATATAATTTTCCCACCTTCTTATTCATTTGCAAGCTTAATGAACAAGAGTGTTTCTTATTTCTACTTGACATATATTTACCTGCTATAGGATTAGACTGTAGGTACTGAAGAAAAAAATAATAAGCAGGTAATTTAGTTAACGAGTAAGCAAAAGCGTTTTGAAATCCCTTCTTTTTGCACCTTTGTAATTCTTACTTTGCCAACAGAATTTACTATCTCAAGATAACTTCTTAGTTTCAGTTACCCCTATCCACGTCTTTCTATGGTATCATAGTAACTATGAATTATTCAACTGTTTCTAGGTTTTAAAAGATCTATATTTAAAGACAACATTGGTTTATATTAGCAAAGTTGGCTTATTAGTTGACTGCTTACCTAACTCTGCTTTCAAACTTCCAAATCAGCTTGTATCCCTTATGGCATAAGTGTCATATTCTAACTTTAGATTTCATTTGTATTCAACAACGAGAAGCATAGCGGGCGACTGCAGAAAGAGAGAAATTGGGTCTAGAGTATATGCATCTCCTAGGTCCTTCAATGCCAAGTCAGAGGGAGCTAGCAGTGTCCAGCAGTAGGCTCTGGTTTGCTTCTGTAGCTCTTGGGAGATACCGTGACTGATTTCAACTCTGTATTTAGTGACGCCACATTGATAGTTGAAATCAATTTTGATGGGTCAGTAATCTACGAAGCAGGATTTAATTTATTTTTCCTTCAGAGAGTCAGTTGTTAAGCACTTGCCAGCGTTTCACTGGTTACATGCTTCTACCAGGCCTTCAGCTCAAGTCAGGGGCTCATTCCTGATAATGCTGTCTTCAGTGAGATAACCATTCCCTCTTCTTAATTACCCAGATTGGTTAGTATGCCAGAGCTTTTGATTCCTTATTCCTTGTTTTCTCTAAATTCTCCTCACACCTTTGTAAAATTCCTTTAAATGAACTCTACCTGGATTCATAACTATAAGTGTATTATTTGCTTCTTCCTTGACCTTGCTAGATGTAGCTGCTTTTGAAAACCCTACAAATGTTTTAAGTGGTGAGAAATGCATAGGAAGAATGCTTGTGCAAGGTCAGCTTCTCTAAAACCTAATAAAAAATCTCTTTTAGGTCTAATGGGGGTTATTCTTTTGGCATGTTTATGTCAAATATCATCTCTGGTAAAGTTGTTATAATTGGAAACTGGGTGAAGTATTAACTCATATAACTTAATCATTAGTTCATCGTAATTCTCGTGGCTCACATTTTTCCCTAAAATTGAAGAGTTTCAAGTCCAATTTTCCCCAACACCTAGCGTTAGTGTTTTGTTTTATTTCCTTCTGCATATGAAAGTACTTACTTTTACCAAAAATGGAAATTTGTTCAGCACATTGTTATAATTAATCATTATAGCCTAATTAGAATGATTAAGATTAATTGCACATGCATATAAATATGTATATGTGGAGAGGATAACGTTAATATTTTTCAAGCCAATATCAGTTTACTTATGGTAACTCAAATTTTCTTACACCTTGGTGATCATAATTTGTGCTCATGCATGCACACCACTATCATAGTGAACTACAGATATTGATACAATGCCTACACATCACAAGTCAATTATGCTATTTCATATACTTTGGCATATGGATGTAAAGAATATCTAGTCTCATAATGAGGGTATAAGTAAGTACTAGAGATGACCACAGACAGAACTAATAATAGCAAAGGCTTAAGGTGGGGTGTTATAATAGGCATCTGGAAAAAGCGAGTATGGAAGTAGAATGTGTATTTGAAAAATACATAAAATAGCAAACGGACAAAATAGCAATCAAATTATTCAGAGTAGAGTAAAACCACAAGAAATGTGGGATGAATTTAATAGACTAAAAATGCACAATGATAGCTGCGGATACCTGATAATTATAACTCAGAATTCAGTTAACAGCTTCTCAGAGGACAAGACAAAGATGGAGAGGAAAGGAAGAGGAAAGATCAGATTAGGAAGCTTTTGTCGACAAGATGGTTTTAAGAGAAAGATTTCTCAGGAATGAAGAGATAGAAAGAAGGCAAGACATTTGCCCTATATACTATTAACCTGGTGTTTATCCCTGGAACCATATATGGTCCTCTGAACACTTTCAAGAATAATTCCTGAGCACAGATATAGTAGTAAGTCTTGAGCACAGAACCAGGAGTAAGCTCTGAATACAGAACCAGGAGTAAACATTTGTTATATAGCTGGGTGTGACCCAAAACCAAAAAAGAAACGAAAAGGGAAAATATTTCACAAAATGTAATTCCTCAGTGTTTCACATCAGGGTTCAGTGGAAATATGCATGTTCTTAAGTCTACTTTTAAATTAGTATGTTTTCAGGAAGAGTTATGTTTTCTCTTTGGTTGGGAGGTGTTGGAGCAATAAATGTGAATAAGTTTAAACTCTATTCGCTTTTATTTTTGTGTATGTGGATATATAAAAGAGATAGTTAAATTTTGAGATAGAAGATAGCAAAGATAATGAAAAGCAATAAAATCAAAGACAGATTTGGTGGAGAGAGCGTAGTTCTAGTAGGAGATGTCCAATGCCAGATTGGAAAGGATAGTGAGGTCATAGTTGTGAACTATGAAGTTCCTGAAAAACACCATAGGTTTTCTGAGTTGTGAAGTTAAAGGGCCCCTTAGTATGTCAGAGAGAGGAGGGAAATTGGGGATTTATAGAAGTTATCAGGAAGATCATAGAAAGTGTGTTATTTAGTCAAAAATTTCCAAGAACATGGAGGCAGCTGTTCTAATTTGCAGAACTAACAGTGGTGGGAATGACGAAGGTAAGCTTCAGTACAGCAAAGGATGAACCTCAGAACTTGGCTCAGGTTAAGCATAAACAAACAAACACTGTCCTCCCATTGTTCATCGATTTGCTCGAGCGGGCACAGTAACGTCTTCATTTTTTTGAGACTTGTTGTTACTGTGTTTGGCATATTGAATACCTCACGGGTAGCTTGCAAGGCTTTGCTGCGTGGGCAAGATACTCTCGGTAGCTTGCTGGGCTCTCTGAGAGGGGCGGAGGAATTGAACCTGGCTCAGCCGTGCTGGCTGTGCACAAGGCAAACGTCCTACTGCTGTGCTATTGCTCCAGAGATATAATATATTATATATAATATATAATATATTCCACGGATGAAATGGAATATATTATATATATCATATATAATATATTCCACTTTATGCATATATAATATAGTTTCGAAGTAAAATGATTTAAATTAAGGATTGCGCATGAATAATAGATTTAGAAATGATATTGGCTCCTTATGCTCATTGGGAGAGAAACATCTATATCTAGAGTAGAGAAAGGGAGAGAGAGAATAGTAGGGATGAAAGAAATTGCTAGAAAAGTCAATTACTTCTGAAGTATATTTCAATTAAAGATTTACTAAGACACTAGTGAAGTCGTAGCCAGGCTCTATCTAGCCTCAGCTCACTCTGGCTGAGGATTTCTCTGCTACTTCCAAGGAATTACAACAAGTTTCAAACTACAGTTTTCAGTGAATTTTTATTCATCAGAAAAAATATGTATGCACGGAAAAAGAAACTAGTTAGGGGGCTGATTTTGCCATTCTCACTTCCCAGGAACTGGTGACAAGATTGTGTGATGCTTGGGTTGTTTGTATAAAGCACACCCATGGTTATGCAAAACAAAGCTAGGAGAGGAAATTATTCATGACACTTGGATTCATCAAAATGTTGACATTTAAACATTTTTTAACCAATTTTTTAAAACCTTGGAGACCTAAAGATAAATTTGATCCATATGCCTCTGCCTGAGTTATGTTTAACAAGAAACATGTTTACAAAAAGGCCTTTGGATAAGAGCTTTCTGTTTCTGCAGGATAAGGACATTCTAACAAAGACAGAAAAACAAAACAAAAACAAATAGAAGGAATGAAGAAGAGCTTTGGTTATTCTTCAGGATGTATTAGTGGTTTCTCCACAGCAACACTCTGCTTGGAATGGGGACGCAGAGTTCATTCCGACCAGTCTCTTCCATAATGAAACCAGTGACAAAGCACAGGAAAAAAAAGAAATTGCAAAACGGAATGGTATTAGTACAGGTCAAATGGAGTCTTTTAGTAACTTCAGTGAGTACTATTACACTCAAGAGAAAAATTGTTTGACCCAAGTGAAAGTTATAAAAAGTAGTTTATTGTGGCTAGAACCAGGGATTTTTTCCCCCAGGTGTGAAAACTTGTCATGGAAATGGGAAATTGGGAAGTTAATTGCTATTGATGAGCAAATAAACTATGTATGCATATGAAATGTAGCTTACAGATTTGAAGATTGTAAACCTGAGTTAATTTAAATAGGAATCACTATATGTTAAGATAGGAAAAAATAGGGTTTTGTTGATTACAAAGGAGAAAGACTCTATTAGCCTGGGATTAGCACCAGGGCAGAGTACTTAACTTGGTCCCTGAGCTAAGGAAGGGCCTTGGTAAGATCAAGCATTCACAGATGACTGCCCTTGTAATGGAAGTGATTGAGTTTACTGGAAAAGAGAAAGCAAAAGAAAACTAAACAGAGTTATTCCTTCAATGTATGTGAGAAAGTGGCATGGAGAACAAGACCAAAAAAAAAATGGCAAAGATTTTTATTTTAACACTAAGAATAAAAATATCCAAAATGAGAAACATGAGATGCTAATGTCATAAAGCCTAAATGGTTAAGTATAATGGATCCCATTGATAAAACTGAAGAATGTTCATTCTGAGGAAATTGAGTCACCTTGGGAAATGGCTTCACATTTTTGAGCATGACTCTTCCCCTGTACACCTGAAGTGTGCACCTTTGTACTAGAATGCCAGAGAAGTGGGGGAGAAAAAGCATTATTATCATCCACATTGCTCCCTCATTCTAGCTAATTCACTGTCCCTCCCTGACCAGAGTAGGTTTTGTAGGATTTTCTTTTCTTTTTTACTTTCTTTTCTTTTTGGGTCACACCTGGAGATGCTCAGTGGTTGCTCCTGGCTCTGCTCAGGAATTACACCTGGCGCTGCTTGGGGGACCATATGAGACAAGGGGGATTGATAACAGGTCAGCTTAGTGCAAGGAAAACACCCTACCCACTGTACTATCACTTCAGCCTCTTATAGAATTTTTTGCTTAAATGAATTCCACATCAAATCTGTTTGGGAAACAAGGTTCTCAAAAGCCCTGACTATAGAAAATGTGCTATATATTTATTAATGCAATTTGGCCTTTTTCCAAATATTACCACAGAATCTTCCCCTCTATTTTCTCTGTAAGACACACAGATACATCTTCAACGAGAAGTAGATAGAATATGCATGAAAATTCCTTAAGTACAAATGTCTCTGATTTTTCTTGAAATTATTTAGATCTAAGTTTATGGTCACTGACTAGTTAAATATTTCATTTGGACTAAATTTAAACCCTGAAATCACCAGAATTTTGCTTCTCTTATAGGTGGAAGAGGCACTGAGTGAAATTGATTTTCAACTCAAGGTGGACCTGCATTTTACGGATAGCGAACAACAGTAAGTATTGAGACATTTGTAAATCCTGCTAGTGTGACTTTTCTCCCATCCCAGCCCTTTCCCACTCTGGGGTTGTCATGAAAATAAAGCTCAGATCATCTCCTTGAAATCCAATTTTTGTTTAGTTGCAGTGTCTCAACACCATCCCAGATTTCCCTGCATTGTAGGTAAATGTCTGTGTCGTAATATAAACTATTAAAAACTTTAATCAGGTTGCTCAAATGTTTCTCATGCAAGCCCTTTAATTTTTTTCTGACTTTGTTAATTTGCATGTACCATTTCAGACATTTCTGTATATTTTCAACATAACATTAATTAGCTAATTGGATCAATAACTTCAAAACTCTAATGGAAATTCAGCCAGATTTTTCAAATATTTATTCTAAATATCTACTCCTGAGATTCAATGTTCTCAAAATTAAGAAACAAAAAATAGTAAAACCAAGAGCTATATACAGTTTGCTAAGTAAATTACTAGGAGTCACTCTCTGTCTCTCCCTCTCTCTCTATTTTCCTTTTGGGCCACACCTGGTGATGCTCAGGGTTTATTCCTGGCTCTGTACTCCGTAATTACTCCTGGTGGACCCAGGGGGCCCATGTGGGAGCTGGGAATCAAACCCACTTGGCCACGTGCCACGCAAGATCCCTACCCATTGTACTTTGGCTAGAGAGGAGTCAACTCTCTTCCTCAGTCTCCTTATCATCATGTTCTGTGTCTCCTCCATTCTTCTGCGGTAGACTGTTAAATTTCTTATAGTAGAGCTTACGTTCCTTTCGTGTAGTTAATATCTTTTTTTTAGGCATTAAAGGTCCAGTAAGTATGTTATCAAATTCCAAATTCATTTCCAATATGTAAATCCTTTGCATTTATACAGCCTCCTTTCTACCATATACCTCTAGTTTTAGCATTTCCCACTTAGAAAAAATTAGTGCAGGAGCAAAGTACAGAGGCTCATTTTTTATTTTTTTAATTTTTATTAGTGAAACACCATGAGGTACAGTTATAGACTTACAAATTTTTTGTGCTTGGGTTTCAGTTATACAATGATCAAGTACCCATCCCTCCAAGAGTGCCCATTTTCCACCATCACAGATCCCAGTATCCCTCCCACCCCAGATCCACCCCCCATCCCACCCTGCCTCTGTGGCAGGTCATTCCCTTTTGTTTTCTCTCTCCTTTTGGATGCTGTGATTTGCAAAAGAGACATTGAGTGGCAATCATGTTCGGTCTGTAGTCTACTTTCAACATGCTTCTCCCATCCTGGGTGGATCCTCCCAACACACTTTATTTGGTGCTCTTTTCTCTATCTGAGCTGCCTTTTTCCCTAGCATGTGTGGCTGGCCTCCAAACCATGGAGTAAACCTCCGGGTACTTATCTTGGCTATTCTTGGATGTTAGTCTCCTATTTTGTTACTTTATGTTCCCCAGATGAATGCAATCATTCTATGTCTATTCCTCTCTTTCTGACTAATATCGTTTAGCATGATATTTCCCATGTAGTACCACTTGCATGTAAATTTCATGACTTCATCTTTTCTAACAGCTACATAGTACTCCATTGTGTAGATGTACCAAAGTTTCTTTAACCAGTCATCTGTTCTTGAGCACTCAGGTTTTTTCCAGATTCTGGCTATTGAAGAATGCTGCAATGGACAAACAAGTGCAGATATCAGTTCGACTTTACTTTTTTGTCTCTCTAGGATATATTCCCAGTAGTGGTGTTGCTGGGTCAAATGGGAGCTCAATTTCTAATTTTTGGGAATCATTCATACTGTTTTCCAAAAGGGCTGAACCAGTCGGCATTCCCACCAGCAGTGAAGGAGGGTCCCTTTCTCGCCACATCCACGCCAGCACTGGTTGCTTTTGTTCTTTTGGATGTGGGCCAGTCTCTGTGGTATGATATGATATCTCATTGTTGTTTGATCTGCATCTCCCTGATGATTAATGATGTACATCATTTTCTCATGTGCGTTTTATCCATTCGGATTTTTTCTTTGAGAAATTTTCTGTTCATTTTATCTCCCCATTTTTTGATGGGGTTGGATGTTTTCTTCTTGTGGAGTTCAACCAATACTTTATATATCCTTGATATCAACTCCTTGTCAGATGTGTATTGGGAAAATATCCTTTCCCATTCTGTAGACTGTCTTTGTACTTTGTTCACTATTACTGTTTTTTTTAGCCAGCAGATTCCCAGGGTTTTATCTATTTATTTTTCTTATATTTATTTATTGAATCTCTGCGGGAAAAGTTACTAAGTTTTCAGGTTTAAGTCTCAATCATACAATGATCAAACACTTTCCCTTCACCAGTACTCATTTTTCACCACCAAGAACCCCAATATACCCCCTTCCTCCTCTCCCAATGCCTGTGAGGCAGATGATTTCTACTTAACTCTTCTCTACAGTGATTACATTCATTATTTTGACAAAAGATGCACCATTATTGTTAAGAATTCCCCTCCCAACAATCAGAATTGCTGAAAACACATTCTGAAATACTTTTTTTCTATAGCTGGTTATGATAATCATATAATGATTTTGGATTTCTGCAAAGAGCCAGATAATTATGAGATTGTATTCTGTGTGTCAGGTGTTATAGCTGTGCTGGAGAGCCGCTCATGATGGGCAACTTGTGACCTCGGTAGGGTGTGAAGGACAAGCCTACCGGTACCACCCCCCTTCCCATAAGACTGCAGTTGCCCCATCACCGCCCGCTCATACCTGGCTTTCTATAAGCTCTGAGGCAGCAGCCACCTTGCTGCTTGGGGCAAGGGGTGGGGAGAAGGGACTAACACCCTTTCCCTCCTGGAGAGGCATGGCGCCATAGTTTAACACATGGTCCATTCACTTTTCTGCTGCAAGCTGCTGGGCTCTGGACTAAGTCCTTTTACCTCTGGAGCCATGGCCGTGCCAGAGAGCCAGCCGCCCATGGAAGGCAACTCGTGATCTCGGTAGGGCGTGAAGGACCAGCCGGTTCCATCCCCTTTCCCATGAGACTGCAGTTGCCTCATCACTGCCAGATCATACCTGGCCTTCCAATAAGCTCTGAGGCGGCGGCCACATTGCTGCTGGGGGGTTGGGGTGGGGAAGGTGGAAGGGAGCAAAACCCTTTCCGTCCCAGGGAGGCATGGCACCGTAGTTTAATGCATGGTTCATTCACTTTTCTGCTGCAAGCTGCCGGGCTCTGGACTAAGTACTTTCGCCTCTGGAGCCATGGCTGTGCCAGAGAGCCACTCATGTGGGGCAACTCGTGACCACAGTAGGGCGTGAAGGTTGAGCCAGTACCACCACCCTTCCTGTGAGACTATAGTTGCCCTGTCACCACTGGCTCATACATAGCTTTCCAATAAGCTCTGTAGCAGCAGCCACCTTGTATGCGGTCCAGATGCATTTCTGTCAAAAGTCACTTAACTTCAAGATTTGTTTCTGAGTTTCTGGGATCAAAGCCATTAATCAGCTTGATCAGGAGCCAGAGAGACCGTTTGTAGGTGGCAACTCGGGGTCTCATTGGGATGGGGAGGAAAGGGCCGGTTCCACGCCCATCTGGTGAGGCTCCATGTGTCTTGTCACTGCAGGCCCAAACATGACTGTCCAGTGGCCTCCAGATGATGGTGGTCACCGGGCCTCTAGGGGGAACAGGCCAAGGCACGAACCTATTCAAACCTGGAGTGGCCCAGCGCCAGTAACTTACTGCAGGGACAGGACACATTTCTGCCAAAAGCCTTTGGGTTCCGAGATTTGTTTCTAAGTCTCTGGGATCATGGCCATTAAGCAGTTCGATCAGGAAGTAGAGAGGCCATGCCTCCAATTATATAGCTGAGCCAGAGGTGGTTTGTGGGTGTGTCTCCCACATACCTAAATTTTGGCTGTTTACTTTCTTCGTAAACTTTTCCCTACGTTTTTGGGGTCTGGCCAAAGGCATAGCAGAAATTTTGGGGTATCTGAAAGTCTGACAGTGGCATCAGGATGCTGATGCATTGGCCTCACAGGTATAGTTGACCTGCTGGCGGCACCATACCCCGGTCACCATTTCTTTTGAGGTACAGAGCTTCTTAGTTTAACATAGTACAATTTCTCTATCTCTGTTTTCACTTGCTTGTCCTGTGGCATGAAATCTTTGAAGATACCATTAGCTTCAATGTCATGGAGGTTTTTGCCAACTTTGTCTTCAATGTACCTTATGGATTCCGGTCTGATGTTGAGGTCTTTAATCCATTTTGATCTTACTTTTGTACATGGTGTTAGACAGAGATCTGAGCCCACTTTTTGCATGTAGCCATCCAGTTTTGCCAGCACAGTTTGATAAAGTGTCTTTTCTTACTGCACTTCACATTTCTTGCTTCTTTATAAAAGATTAGATGATCATATGTTTGAGGGAAGATGTCAATAATTTCAACCCTGTTCCATTGGTCTACAGCTCTGCCTTTGTTCCAGTACCATGCTGGTTTAATTATTACTGCTTTGTAGTAGAGTTTGAAGTTAGGGAGGTTGATGCCTCCCATTTTCTTTTTCCCAAGAATTGCTTTAGCTATTCTTGGGGGCTTATTGTTCCATATGAATTTCAGGAGTGGTTGCTCCATTTCTTTGAAGAATGTCATGGGTATCATTATAGGGATCACATTGAATTTATAGAATGCTTTGGGAAATATTGCCATTTTGACAATGTTAATTCTCCCAATCCATGAGCAGAGAATATCTTTCCATTTTCTCGTTCCCTCTTCTATTTTCTGAAGTAGCGTTTTGTAGTTTTCTTTATACAGGTGTTTTACTTCCTTCGTTAAACTGATTCCTAGGTACTTGATTTTCTGGGGCACAATTGTGAACATTTTTTTTTCTCATGTCGCTTTCTTCTCTCACTCCTAGCGTATAGGAAAGCCATGGACTTTTGGGTATTGATTTTATAGCCTGCTACTTTACTGTATAAGTCTATTGTTTCTAGCAGTTTCTTGGTGGAGGTTTTAGAGTTCTCTAAGTATAGCATCATATCATCTGCTAAT